TACCTCTAAACCTGTTGCTCGTTCAAGATCGCATAGCAATCCAAAAGAGAGATCAACCCTTTCAAATAAACAAGGAAAGAAGCAATTGTCTCTGCCAAGCTGCGGTCAGTCTCTCTATCATGCTTTCCTTTTTCTTTCTGAAGATAATGTCGTCCTGGAAAGCTAGCCAACCCTGCTTTATAACAGGACATTTTGAGCATGTTTGGCTAAGATTAAAAAAGAAAGGTTTGCTTCTGAGTAAAGAAATTTTCAGATAATTATTTAAATTGATCGATGTTAGAATTAAGTTGTTTTCTTGACATTAGGGGGGTAACTTTTTTTGTACTTGAAAGCTTGATAAGTTATCCAATTATATGCAACCTTCACTTACTTTTAAGCTTAGCTAACTCTTATTTTGACAATAGGGTAATAGTTACTTTCAACTTAAGTAACTTGTTCTAACTTCTAAATATGTTAAGCAACGAAAAGTTTCTTAAAAAATTATTTTTAAGCTTATCCAAACATGCTCTTCGTTCTTTCTTGCCTCTAATGTGGATATTTATGTGACTCAGTTTTCTACATCCTTCCTTAATGCAATCCATGATCCTCTTGGTTCAACTTGCTAAACACCTTGTGTTGTGATCATGCAATTATAGAGTTCATTGAAATCTTCAAAGCCATAAAATTCTAGATTGTCACGAGTATCCATGATTATTATCATTTTTAATACATTGATTAATAACTCCCTCCTGTTTATGAGTTTATCTATCACACTATGCTGTGGCTCAGATATTGCACATGAGCAAATGTACACTAATTGTCTTGCTAACTGTGGGTCTTAGCGAATCAACCAGGGCTAAATCAGGGGTCTCAACCAACCAGGCAACCCAGTCGAACTGCTGTCAAAAGCTTGCCTACTGGCCAGAAGCCCGCAAAGGATAAATCTAAATTGAATGGCAATGGCCTAAAGCCTTCCAAATCTACTCTGCAGGCTGATCATTAGTGTTTAGCTTTAGTCTGTTGTACAAAAAGTGCAATTTTTTATGTGAGAAGATGATTATTTTTTGATGTTACCAGGGCTTGTAGTTAAATAGACAGGTGTGTTCTTGAAATAGGAATGAGGGGGTGAGACTGTTGAAAAAGATTATTTATTATTGTATTCTTTTGGTTCATTTGTATTTATTATCGTGAGTGAGTTTCTAGAGGATTATCGAACTATACATGACGTAATATGTACACGAAAAAATACACAATCGAACTATACATGACGTAATATGTACAAGAAAAAATACACGTAGGAGGCAAGTGAACTTATGGTAGTGTAGAGAATTGGTCGAAAACATTTTATAATAAATTGCAAAATATCGAACCCACGTCAAAGTAATTGGCAAGCTAAAAATTTATTGACAAGATAATTTTACCCTTACATTCAAAATTGATTAAAAAAAAAAAAAAAAACTCATCTCGGTTTGACGGAGGTGGTTCGGCGTAGGGTGGGATGGAGAGAAGAATTTCGGGTTTTCTTTTTTCTTTTGTTGTTTCATTTTAGTTTTAGTTGGGATTATTTGCACTTTTTAAGTGCTTGTTTGGTATAGATTTTAAGTCAATTAAAAATAATTTTTTCATCGTTACTTCACTATTCCAACAGTTATATTTGAATTATTCTCTTAGAGGTAGGACTTAGTTTATCTCTAACGATCAAAAAATCAATTATCAAAATTCCTACCAAACGAGAAGAAACTACTTAAAGTTGAACTTGCATTATACGTTGTTATTCTGTAATACTTTATAAGTACAGTAAAAGTAATATTTGACTGCTCCATTCACCATATTGATCTAAATTTGAGAAAACTGCAAGCATCTAAAAATAAAAGGCTAATTATCATGCATGCAAGTAAATAGTAAAATGCACTTAAATGTGAGTATTAAAATTACAACTAATGCATAAATGAAGATGAATGGCAAATACGATACATGAATTAACATGAATGTTAGTTAATTTAGAATTAGTACCAAGGAATATATACGTGATAATGTATGTCAAATCATTTAGACTAAATGAACATAATTTAGTTTTCAATTAAGTGAAAACGGATGTTAATTAACATATATGGACGTGAATAATGAAACTCTTGAATGTGAAATTCTAATTAATATTAATTATATGAACGTGAATATTAATTAATCGAGAATTAATAATAGGGACATGGACTTGAATTTGAATGTGAAATACTAATTAATACTGACTAAATGAATGCGAATATTAATTAATTGAGAATTTAATATATGGAATACATGCACGAACAAGAATTTTGTAGTATTTATTATAATTTGTAAATTAAATACATATTGAAAAATGAAAATTTAGATATTATTGAAATAATTGAATTGTAGTGAGTCTATAATCGTCCAAAAAATATGATATTTAATATATTATAGATTTGAGATTACGATTGTAATTATTTGTTTATTTTTATTCCTTTTTATTTATTTGAACATACAATGCTTTAATAATAATAAAAATGAATTGTTTTCTACAGACTTGCTTGATTTGAGTATTGTGTCAAAATGAAATGATGTGATTGTTTTGGTCCAATTATCCTTTAGAGAATTGGTTGAAAACATTTTTCAATAAACTGCAAAATACTAAGCCCAGTCAAAGTGATTGACAATCTACAAATTTATTAACATTTATGTTCAAATAAACAAACAATTAAATAAAAAAAAATAAGAATTGATGACATTCTTTTTAAAAGGTTGAACCCCTTCTTGATTTGATGGGAGTAAGTTGGGGTTGGGAGTGATTCTGCTTTTCCTTTTTTGTCCTTTTTTCCGTTATTTATTTACATAACAGGGTAATATTGTCTTTTCAATACAATCTTAGACAAGGGTAAAATTGGTACTATAAAAATGAAAGATTAGGGATGTAAATTCTACGATTTGAAGATGAGGACCAAGATGAAATAAAACTCAAACATTACGGGCCTATATGCTAATATTCCATCAATTTAACTCGCTATTAATTGATTCCTACACCACCCCTGCGTTGGGCAAAACATATTTACATTGGTGTCTGAACTTATGTTTAAGTCTTCAATTGCTCACTAAAATTTAAGACGTCGGATTTTGGCCATCAAACTTATCCAAACGTTATATGTTACTTACTGATATAATATCCATTTCAAACCTTTAACGGATTAGTGATATGGTTAACAAAATGCACAAGTGGCACCCCGCCGTTACATTGACAAATTGTCATGTTGAAGATTGCTCACTAAACTTTAAGAAAAATATATTCGATTGCTCACTAAATATTGAAAAATGTCTTCGCTAGCTTACTGAACTTTAAGGTGATCAAATTTTGGCCACTAAAAACTTGAACTAACTTTTATTGCTCACTAAACTTTGAAAATGTCTTTGATTGCTCATTAAATGAGTAGCTTAAAAGTAATAAAGTGGACAAATGAGTCCGAATTGTCGATCATACGAAAAATAATCACTCAATTATACAAGAGTTAAATTTAATTTTAACATATTTTTATATAATTTTAAACTATTTTTGTCATTTGAAAAATTCAAATTTATTGTGTCATTCGTAGATAAAATTAAATTAAATTACAATTTGGATTTTGCAATGAAATAGACAATAAATTTAATTAAATTTTGAATTTTTGTCTATTTCGTTGCAAAATTCATTTAATTAAATTTATTGTATTTTTGTTACAAAATCCAAAATGATCGCTCAATTATACAAGAGTTAAATTTAATTTTAACATATTTTTGTAGAATTTTAAACTACTTTTATCATTTGATAAATTCAAATTTATTGTGTGTTTCGTTATTAAAACTAAATTAAATTACAATTTGGATTTTGCAACGAAGTAGACAATAAATTTAATTAAATTTTCAATTTTTGTCTATTTTGTTGGAAAATTGATTTAATTAAATTTATTTTATTTTTTGTTACAAAATCCAAATTTTATTCTAATTTAATTTTAACAATTAAACACAATAAATTTGAATATTTTTCAAATAATGAAAATATCTTAAAATTCTACAACAATATGATAAAATTAAATTTAAGTATTTTGTAATTGAATAATCATTTATCGTGGAATTGACAATCCGAACTCGTTTGTCTACTTTATTACTTGGAAAATTTTCAAAAGTATGAGTTTGGGTATACACATTTCAAAAAAAGAAAAAAAAAGTTTCAAATTTCAAAAAATCATATTTTTATTAAAATTTATTTATGATTTAATTAATTAATTATATTTAGATAACAGATCTATACAATTTAGTCACAAATGAACAATTTAATTAGTCACTTGTAATTTTTTGATCATAAATTAGAAATTTTATGTCACAAATTACTTTACCATCACAATTCGAAAAATTTGTAGGTCACAGTTTTTTCTTCACTAAGCCTACGTGATTTCTATCATACTCCAAAATAATATTTATATTTATCTTATTTCTTTCATGATGAGATTGTTAGATATATATACAATAAGCCCTTATTTGAGCCACATTATTTTCATAAAAATGTATTTTCAAATAGTTTATTAATGAGAAATGTGTAGTTAAAAAATAAGGAAATATTTGAATTTATGTGTAATATTATTTTATTGAAAAATATATAGTTGAAATGATGTTAAATCACTGTTTAAGAATGTATTTTTTTTTCAAAACATATGGCTCAAACAGGGCCTAAATATAATATGGAAAAGAAATAAGTAATTTAGATGAAATGTCAAAGCGGTGGAAAACGTGAAATTTGTGTGGGAGGTTGGGGGTTCGGGTCACGTCCCATGCAATAATAAAAAAGTCTTTGATCGGAACCTTTAGGCTTTCTTGATTAAAATAGTTATTTTTTATTTTAATCATTTTCGAAATTATTTAATGGGTTAAACTAGTCGGTATAATATGATCATTTTTCAACAACTTACTATTTAGAACCCATTATCCACGTTCCATTAAAAATTGCAAATCTTTCTGGATCATGTGGAGGAAATGATATCTATTCTGCCTATATAAATACTCATATGATTTTGAAAATACATCAAAAAACGAAATTATAATTTCCATATTCAGTAATTTTTAAACTCGAGTTTTACATTTTCTTTGGGAGTACATTTGAAATTTTGAAACCATTTGTGATTGCTATACAAGTGGTTTGTGTGATCGTTGTAACCTGGGATTAATGGTCCACATAGATCGTAGCAGTTATCAGTGGGCAAATTCACTTTAAGATATCGTATTGTCATGAGACTCGATCAATCGATAAATTTTATTTTGCATTTTACTATTTTGCAAGTTTTTGTAAGTAATTATTTTTCAACACTCTAAAGTGCAGTTGCATTTATAATTAGTTGTCATATTTGTAGTAGATATATATGTTCCTAAGTGAAATTGCATTTATAATCACTTGTCATGTTTTCAGTAGATATATCTATTCCTCAGTGTTTTGAAAAATCCAAATTATTTGATGAAAGTATTTTAAGAGATGACAAATGAATTTGTGATTTTATTTGACAATTTTTTAAAGTTTTTGATGCTATTGAATTTGACAAACCCTTTTTCTGCAATTGTTGATAAGCCTTCTGATATTGAAATAGAAGATTTGGCTAATTGAGAACATAAGGATTATATGTGTAGAAACTATATTCTAAATTACTTGATGTTAGATTTAGATGATTTTTATTGATAATGTAAATCTGCTAAAAAATTATAAAATTACGTAGAAAAGAAATATGTTGTCGAAAATGTTGGAACTAAGAAATTTGTTTTGGAAAAATTTCTAGATTTAAAATAAATGACATTAGAACTGTGGTCAATCAAGTTGAAGAATTACATATTATATTCCATGAAATTATTGTAGAGGTATGCAAAATCTGTGAGAGATTTCAATTGTCCACTATAATTGAAAAATTACCACATTGTTGAAAAGAGTATAAGAAAGTTTGAAACATAAGAGAAAATAAATATCCTTATAGGATCTGATGATTATCAGAATTAAAATTGAGGAGGACAATAGAATGACAAAATGTAGGTAAAGGCCAAATTTGGACATCAAGGCTAATCTTATTTAAGGACGTTCTAGTAGTAAGAAATTTGTTGAAACTTTTACCAAAGGTCAGAACTTTAGATGCAGAAATAAGGGAAAACAATTCATGGGAAAG